GGAGGGGGACGAGCCCTGCACCGCCCATCTCCGGGCTCGGCCTCTGTCGGGGCGGGTAAAGAGAGCCCCGGTGCCTTCCTGGCGCGCAGAGAAGCCAGCCCGGCTCCCGACGCTCTTCCCTGGTGAACTCTCCCCCCAGCCGGAATCAGTGAGACCCGGGTGCGGTGGCCGCCCGGCTCCCTTCGTGCGAACCGCCCGGCAAAACCGCGAGCTGGGGCTCGTGATGGTGCTGACGATGCTCGCGGGCCCGAGCAAACCCCCGAGGGGAGAGAGGGCAGGAGGGATCGGAGAGCGGTGCCCGCCCGGCGTAAGCCGCCACTCCCGTTCCCTGCGCCTCCCCTCCTCTCTTCTGATCTCCTTCCCCCTAAAATGCTGGTTGCTGTGCAGCCTCCTGGCTGAGGAGAGACGAGCAGGGCCACCGGTGGGACCCCGGGTGTTCCCCCTCCGCCAGCCGGAGGGGTTTCTGACGTGAGGCATGCCGGGCCTGACACCGGCCGAGCACCTTCCCTGGGGGCTTGGTGCTCCCTCAGCTCCCCCCGCCCTGAGAAGCCCGCCAAGGTCTCCCGCAGCTAGGCCTCGGTCTGACCCACAGCCTTTCCTTTTTTTGTGCGCAAGGTTAAGCCAGCATTAGCCCGTTCAAGTCTAACTGTAGCCCAGGCGCAGGAGTCATCCACCGCTTCGTGCTTTCCCACCGTGACGGCCCCGTCTGGCTCCGCACAGTGTGCTTGGGGGCGGTTTCTTCTTCTGCCCTTAAATGCAGTTTTATTTTACCAGTAGAGCTTCAAGTGTTTGCCAGTAACCAGGTAAAGAGCCGGCATCCGTGTTTGACACGGGAAGAGCAGAGCAGAGCCCCAGGGGGCAACCGCACTTTTGTCCTGCGGTAACGCAGAGCCCACACGGAGCCTCCCTCTCTCCACCTCCACTTTTATTGGGCCGCGACATTTTCCTTCTAACTGAAAGTCCGCTGGGAACGTTGTGTTCTAATGTTGTAACCTCAAACCTATGGGCAGAAGAGCCAACTGCCTCTGGAGGCAGGGGCCAAAACACTGCAGCTCTTTTTGGGGGTAAAGATAATTATCCGTATTAAAACCAACTAGGTTACTTCTGTTTCTAAAACAGGTTCAGCCTGGATCAGGTCAATAAATATTGGAATAAGCATGTCTTTAAGGATATGTGGTGATGTGATCATGCAGCATTACACATGAAGGAGGTGGCTCTGGATCTTAGAGGAATGGCGGATTTGAGAGAAAATGCTGCCAGTTAAAAAGCAGAGCAGTATTTATTGGTAACACCGCCTGCAGTAGGAAAGTGACAACGTGAACAATTAAAATATCTTACACACGGAAATAAAGATACAACATAGCTGGACACTTGTTTGTTATACGCTTTTAGTCCCCTGTAAAGCTGTGGAAATCATAGAATCATAGAATAGTTTGGGCTGAAAGGGACCTTTAAAGGTCATCTAGCCCCACCCCCCCCGCAGTGAGCTGGGACACCTTCAACTGGATCAGGTTGCTCAGAGCCCTGTCCAACCTGACCTTGAATGTTTCCAGCAATGGGGCATCTACTAACTTTCTGGGCAAACTGTTCCAGTGTTTCACCACCCTTGTGGTGAAAAATTTCTTCCTTATATCTAGTCTAAATCTCCACTCTTTTAGTTTAAAAGCATTACCCCTTGTCCTATCTCAACAGGCCCTACTAAAAATTCGTCCCCATCTTTCTTATAAGCCCCCTTTAAGTATTGAAAGGCCGCAATAAGGTCTTCCCAGAGCCTACTCGTCTCCAGGCTGAACAACCCCAACTCTCTCAGCCTTTCTTCATAGCAGAGGTGTTCCATCCCTCTGATAATTTTTGTGGCCCTCCTCTGGACCCACCCCAACAGGTCCACATCCCTCTTAAGTTGGGGGCCCCAGAGCTGGAGGCAGTACTCCAGGTGGGGTCTCACCAGAGCAGAGTAGAGGGATAGAATCACCTCCCCTGACCTGCTGGCCACCCTTCTTTTGATCTAGCCCAAGATACAATTGGCTTTCTGGGCTGCAAGTGCACATTGCTGGTTCATGTCCAGCTTCTCATCCACCAGTACCCCAAGTCCTTCTCTGCAGGGCTGCTCTCAATCCATTCATCACCCCAGTCTGTATTGATAGCGGGGATTGCCCCAGTCCAGGTGCCGGACCTTACCCTTGGCCTTGTTAAACCTCATGAGGTTCACATTGCCTCACTTCTTGAGCTTGTCCAGGTACCCTCTGGATGGCATCCAGTCCCACAGGTGTATTAACCGCACCACTCAGCTTGGTGTTGTCTGCAAACTTGCTGAGGGTGTGCTGGATCCCACTGTCTATGTCATTGATGAAGATATTAAACAGTACTGCTTGTCATAAAATGGGTGGTTTGGACTGCTTAAAGAATCATTGTCAAGGGTATTAGCAAAAATTTTATAATAGGAATTTATAAAAAGTGTGACTTCACAGAATTCAATGGCAAAGTTCACTCTATTACTTAATACATGGATGAAATGTGCAAAGAAAATCAAGTTAGAGTCAAACTAGAATGATTTATGCAGAGACCAAAGATGCAAAAGGGTACAAGAGAAACATACGAAGGAAAGTCAAGTTAGAATTGATTTTTCATGATTTGCACAGAAATTGGAGATGTAAACGGTAGGGAAGACCCTGCTGTTGAGTCACGAGGTTCAGAGAAGACACCCTTGCTTCCTAAACTCCTGTTGGAGCTCAGGTGCAGCTGGAATGATTTGTAGTCTCAGACTTGGTCAATGGTCTATGTCTAAAAGGTAGGGGATACAAAAGGGTAAAGGAGACCCTGCCATTGAGTCACGAAGTTCAGAGAAGACTCCCTTGCTTTCTAAACTCCTGTTGGAGCTTGGGTGTGGTTGGATCGACTCCTAGACTTCATCAATGGTCTATGTCTAAAGGCATTATATGTGAAACAGCATTCTGAGTTTCATTCGCAGTTTGAAGTGAATCAGAAGATTTAGAAGGGGCAACACTTATGTTATACTTGCTATAGGATACTTGAGTTAATTCACACATGCATGCAGACAGACACTAAGATATATAGGTAGATATACATATATATATAAAGCAAAGCAAAAGTAGGTTAACTGTTAACAGTTCCCCTCAAGCTCAGTGAAAATGCTCACATCAAATATCTCAGCAGTATTCTCAATGGGCAAATGGTTGAGCCTCAAGGAGCAAAGGGTATTGGCCCAGGTCCTGTTGTCAGCTCTCGGCAACAGTCCTCTGATTTTCGCAAACTGGAGAGTTTACAAGCTCGGAGAGGCATCCCACTCAGAGGAAGATGCTGGCTGCAACCTGCTGCGGTCCTGGAGAGCTCCAAGGATCTCACTTAGGACTGCTGTTTATAGGTTCACAAGGTGATTTGCTTTAGTCATCAGCAAATTACTGGAATTCCAGTGGCACTGGTACCATTTCCACATGACCTACGATTCAGATGAGGGAGGACTCCAACGCTATCAGGGAATGACTTAAAATTCAGGTAAGGAAGGCTCCAAGGATGTCAGGGAACGAAAAAAAGACTGATAAGGGATGCTCCAAGGCTGTCAGGAGCAGAGTAATGTTCCTGGTTCTGCATCTCTGCCTCCACAAGGCAACAGGAGTCCTTGGCACAGTCAGTGCTGCTCCCCACCTAAACCATGCAAGGTTTCCTGGTACAGTCAAGGGATGCTTAACCACCCATTTTATTACACAAATGCTAAGGCCTAACAGAAATTCCTGAGATGGAGGGAGAATGTACCACCACACTGATGAAGATACTAATCAGTACTATTAAAGAGAAATGCAGGTGTGGGATCTATGCCTTCTACACAGCATCCCCAGAGCAGCCCCTGGTGTTTGTCCGACCATGCCCTCATGGCACAGAATTTATTTTCAAATGATTCAGCAGAAGTTTGGGCTGATTTCTTTTGTTTGAAAGAAAACACAAAGAAAACAGAACAATTCAGAGGTTTGCTTTTGCAGTGAGAAAGAATGACCAACAAGCTAAGTGTATTGAGCAGTAATTACAGTAAGACACAGAGCTCCTGTGCTAATGATCCCTTAAATTAAATTCCTATGTGACCTAATATAGGGCCAGGCATGCAGTTTCTGTACTTGGTTACTGCCCTCTCGTGGCAGCATGACCACCCTCCAGGAGAGAAAACAGAATGAAAGTTGTTAAGAAGAGAAAGCAGCAAACCACACTCACTCAGAGAATATAGGAGAAAAAGTGTTGTTCCAAAGAACAATGCAATCTTTTTCCACATTGGAAAAATAAGCCAGATCTGCTGTCTTTTCTAAAACAAGGCTAATGAACTCAGTATGTGTGTGAGATGTAGAAGTGATCTGGGTGAGGAAACTATATGTCACAGAAAAACATCACCCATTCCTATACATCATTACAGACATCTACCACCTACTGTACCCTTTCTTGCTCACAAAAGCAATTTTCTGAGAAAGATCCATTTTTTGTTTTTCAGTCCTTACAAGAATACTTGAGCAGGCTTCTAAGGTATTGTCTCCCTTTCCTTCTATGACAATTTCTTTCTGTAATGTCAGAAAGGCTAAAAGACAACTGGACCCTCCGAGCAATGGTAATTCTTTGCAGGAAATATGAGCTCTGCTCTTCAGGAGAAGTCTACTTTCAGCTTTAACTTCAAGAAG